CATTATAAATCGTTGATAAACTAATTCCAATAAATATGTGATTCATATTAATCGTTATTAACCGTAATTTTGTACTTAAAAATTATACGTTCAGCTTGGTGAATTTACACTGGAAGGATTTGCTCTGTAGCAGACCTATGACATTTTTTTTTTAAATTTCCTTTTTTTCTTTCATTTATATACCCACTGAATGTTATTCAATAATAACCTAACTTTAAATTAGATTTAAAATAAAATAGAGAAATCAATATTGTCTATGAGGTGTATGTCGCCTTGTGATCCCTAATTTACGACATTGATTATTGCCAGATAATGTTCTAAAACTCTTCATTGCACGCGTACATGCCAAGGTGTTTCATTAAGACATTAAACAACAAAGTCCGTTCATCGGTTTAGAATAGTGATCTATAAGTGGAAAGAAGAATATCTAAAATTGACAAATTTGTTTAATTGTAAACATTTTTATTTATTTTTATTCATTTAAATTCATATTTTGTATCTTTTTGACAAGCTTTTTCAAATTGTTATTTTTAAATAGTTTCAATGCACATTTTTGCCTTTACAATGTATTTATCGATATTTAGTATTCCTACCATCAATGCATTTATTTGAAATATATTTTATTACTTTCAGTGATCTTATAATATAATTTCTGGAAATCATCTGTTCTCTGTATCATAATACTTTTTCCCAACTGTGTATAGCGTACACCTAATAATTTATATTCAGCGCTCTGTGTTGGTTTTTTACACACGAGCACACCAAGTTTTCTAATAACATGTTTTTTTTGGGTCACAAAAAAAACCGCTTTACGCTTACAGGTGGAATCAATCATTTTTCGAAACAACTAAACGGCGTAACGCCATATTAAAATGTACAGGGTGATCAATTTAACGCCTAGCACTCAATATTTCTTAAGAAAATTTCAATTTTGTAGTCTTCTCTTTTTAAAATAGATGTTGTTTATGTTATCTAAAACATTATGAAATTACTAAATATTTAACTTCTTTGGGATTATCCTAAGGTCTATCGACCTTTGACACTTAAACCCTAAATAGAATCAACTATGTCGTCAGAAAGATTAAATAGCTTAGCCATATTAAGAATAGAGTAATCTGTAACCAAAACAATTATTAATTACGATGATATTAAATCATTTCCTTCAAACCATTTTCGCAGACAATTTTAGAAAAACCCAGAAAGAAGCTAATATTTTTTTAAAGTTTAAAATTTTTGAATACTTTTATGTTAATATTGTTAAGTTTTTCTGAATTGTTATAAATAATATTATATTGGCTATGTGTGAGTTATCTAAATATTATTATATATATAAACTAAGAATGTATATATATAAAGTAAGAAGTCCTGCCTGATTCATAATCAACGCACAGTCTACTATGATAGCTATCGACTGGAAATGTCCAGGGTATGTTTGTATTATAGTCTTGGTGTGCAATAAGAAAGGATTCTGAATTATTTTTATTTTAAGGGATTGAAATAGACAAAAAATAAAATTTAAGTACCTAGCTGAATGTATTTTATATTTATGTAACTATGTACCTACTAGTTAAAAATTTAATTTATAAAATAATATATTTAGAATGGTTTAAATCTCACTAAGTATTTGTTCACATCTAAATGTTTTTTTTTAAATGTTCATTTTTTTATTTTTAATGAACTTCTCCAAAAAACTGCTGTAAACCGCTTTTCTGAATTAAATACTAGCTACGCCTGTTATATTTTATAAAGCATGTTTTGATCTTCATCAAACCCTCTAGGCCTAGGTATCAGTTACTATTTAAGAATACTAAAATAATACTTCTTTAACCAACCACTTAATACTGTGCTGGTTACTAAAATAACGCAAAAATATTATTTTTATCGGGAAAATTTAAAATTAAATTTTTAATGCTTGTAAGCAAGCAATAGAAACATCTCCATTTTCATCGACCCATTAAAAACTTAACTGAATTTAATTAACTAAAAAACTAAAACTGAACAAATCTTTTTAAAATTAATAAATTTTTTATTTTTGATAAAATATTTACTATAAGTAAACTAGTTAGCTATTTAGAAGAAAAAAAAAGAATGCAAAACAGTCAATGAATAACATAAATAAGGAATCTCAAAGTTGAGACACCAAATAAGATAAAAAAGCATTAATTTTAGTAGTTATTGAGACAGTTTTGGGCCAGTTTCTTTTAAGTCGTCTTAGATGCCGGAATGGAGTGAAACAATTTGATCGTACCAAAAGACCCTTTGTGATTATTCAGAGGCATATTAATTGTTTTGGTGTTTGAAGGTTTTGCTGATCACCAGATAATAATACCATAAGTTCATATTGGGTTCAAAAGGGTAGTGTAAAGGAGCTTGTTTTTTATTGGTATTTTTTTAGTTTAGAAGAGGTCGAAGCATATCTAGTCGATAGTTGAGTGCTTTGCGTTGTTCTTTTAAATGTGGTGACCCGGTTAGGATCTCGTTCAATATTAAGCCTAAATATTTTATTTGAGAGTATCAGGGAATGGGAGTTTCCTTTAAAGACACAGTGTGACGCGAGCTGATTTTGTTTCGTTTAGTATTATTTTACAACTTTTAGCCAGGTTTCTAGTGAGTCCAGGTATAAATATATATTATATTGTATATGTAGTGAGAGAGCGAGAGTTGTGGAAAAACATATTCTGGCTGGCCACAACCACATTGGTATTGGGTTGGCTTAAATAAGATTTATTGCGATCAAAAATGTACCTTCCCACTTTTATAAAATAAAAATAATAGATATGTTATTTGTATAATTTTATGAGGGTTTTAATATTTACCGACTTTTTGTTCAATCTAAATATGCCGACTGACTTGATTTTAACGAGTAGGGGGGGGGGGTGTCAACACCCCCCCCCCTAACTCCAGCCCTGCAGAGAGCAGTCAAGTCACCTAAATATGATAGCGTCTCCAAGATATTAAACTGATTACTCGCACTCTCCTTAATTTAAAAACTGTGTAGCTTGTTAACTACTGAATCAATTTAGCTAGTGTAGTAGGAGCGAGGGAAAATAGTATTATTATTATTATTATAATACAATTATGAAACTAAGCAATGTATCTAGGCCAAATAGCAAACAGTTAAAATGTTTATACAGCGAAAATTATATTTATTTCTATTATTTAAAGCCTTACAAATTGTGATGTCGAGAGGACTCTCTTGGGCTTGGTCCGGGGAGGAGCTCTCCGCTTACCATTAACTACGGTGGAGAACATATTGTATTGACCTGTGTTTTTGTGCTATTATACTTTATTTTTAAAGTATAAATCTCGACTTGTGTATTTATTTAGTAGTGTTACCTTTTGCGTCTCATTTTTAAGTATTAAAATTTACTTTTAAATAACGTGTGCTAGGACAACCTTTTTAGTGATCAAAATTGCAAATAGTCCTTAGTCTTTAAAGTTCTATACTTACGGAAATAGTCATTAATCTTGCACTAGGTATAATTGAAAATAGTCCTTAATTACGATTAAACCCGTATTAGGCGTCTGGTTGATTACTACTTAGTGTAGGTTAGTCGTCTGGCTGAAGTATAGTTCCGGAAGGTTTAAGCGTCTGGGCATTGGCTTTGATTAACTTTAAAGGATCCTAGTATACAATTTTAAAAGGGTATCACGTTGTGCGTATCGAGTTTATACCGTATACGACACTAGTTTAGCGCCTAAAATTAAATTTAAAAAAAAAACATGATCATCAAAAAAAAATTGGGCGTTACCATTTAAAATCCAAAGTTGATATAGTTTTAACGCATAAGGGATGGTGTTAAAATTTTAAAAAATATATAACATTTGTCCCAACTAATAATTAGGTACTATAAAAGTATAAAAAAAAATATATATATCGTCTAAGATATTGAGTGGTCCGTAGTTAACCAATCAACCGGTACAACAAATAAATACATTTTCTCTTATGATGAAACCACTTATTTAACAACATAAAGACAAATCGTCATTTAAAAAAAATTACCTTGATTTTATAATTTAATTTAATTTAGTTTTGTTTTAAAAAGGAAAATACATAGAGTATAAAGAATATATAATAATCAAATATTGTGAGTAAAAATATTTAATTTATAATTATATAAAATATTATTTTATACATATTTACTGACATAATTAAGTTTTTAGTGTTCATCGTCAAATTAGGAAGGGGGGGGGGTTGCTTACATTAAGAGTGAACAAGAGTAGTACAAAATAAAAATTAGACGTCAGAGATCATAATATAATATAATAATATAGTAAGGTAATATTCAATTTGACTACAGAAATCCTGTAACAACAAAGTAGGTAGGTACCTAATGTAATATAAATATTGCTGAGAGGAATTCGACAAAGAGAGTTTGTGAAATAGAAATCACATTTCGGCGGGTAGGGTAGGTTAGGGCTGTGGGAGAAAATGACCTCGAAGGACAGCCGCCAGTCGCATTCCAAACGTTTTCTACTAGGAATCTTATTTGTCAACCGTTTATTTGGGTTCAGTATTCCGATTTCTGTTGAATCGTAGTACCCCCCACCAATGCAGCTGTTGTCCTACCGGCCGGCAACAAGTGGCTGGTAGCATTAGACACGAGGATAAGGACATATGGGACGTGTCACTCGCCGGTCGCGTAGCATACGTTAGTTTTTTTTTTGTATTTACATGCGATTGTTCTGTTATAATATATCAAACCGTATAAATCTACCGGGCACATTTTTTGTTCAGGACATTTTTTTGTACACGCTTCATCGAAAAACACACAACGTTTGAATTTTAGACGTACGGATACATTGCCATTGCTTATATTTTCAAGTGAGATTTTGTCGTTTTTCATTATAACATTATAAGCAAACTATAATCAAGTTGATGAATGCCTAAACCGTCAGCCGCTTAAGTAATACAAAAGTAATTTTTATTTGTAATTATAATATTATTTTATACTAATTTTACAAGTCAGCGAAAGGTGTTTCCATACCGAATAAAGACAAAGGTAAACGCATTAATACACGTGATAGGATGTAGATGATGGTAAATTTACAATAAGCTTTGAAACTGGAGTTGGAAATTCGATATGTTATTCTCATAAAAGGCACGACAGTTTACCTCCATGCTGCGGTGTACCTCCACCTGTGCCAATCACTCGTTATCACACATACACACACTATCACAAATCTGTCTAGAAAATTTTTGCGTGTTGTAAATAAAAGTTTTGTTTTTGTTAATAATTGAGATTTCATTTTTACTCTCTCCTTCCTGTGAATTATAACTAGTTAAACTCGATTTAGCGCCATAGTAACAGTTTGTTTTCATTGTTGTTGCTACGGATCCGATTCGTAAAAATATCTTGATTTCAATCATAATAACTTAGTTTAATTCTATGATAAATACCTAACGTATTGCGTCGTGTTTCGTTATTGAGTTACAATTAAGTTTTGTCTTGCCTGTAATTAATTTTTTATACATTTTAAGTAGCAGCCCTGAACAGCGGTTTACGGTTCTACGTTGTGTGAGTACCTACTGTTTTGTATTTCTAATTTATTTACGTTATTGCCGTGTTTTCTGTCTTTCGTTGACTTAGAATACTGCTTGTTAATAAATAGAATTATGATCTATAGGTGTTTGCTTATAACTTATTATTTATTCGGAGTTGAATCGAGTAATACGAGATCAACGCCACTTTAAAATTATCTAATCGACAAAATGGTCTAGCTTTAATCTTTATCGTGTTATCTTCTTACCAACAAGTCATCCTTGTAGTTTTGTATTATTTATCTAATTTAAGTAAATTACAATTTTGTTTTAAATGTTAAAAAAAAAAATGTACCACTTAAAATTTTGTTGGTTTTTTATTATTCAAATAATGTAATTAGTTTCTTGCATAGCATATTAATCACTGTGACCATTAAACGACCATGTCAAACAATTTCATCAGCTTATTTATTATTTTTTTAATATCAAACATGATTTTTTTTTTCTTCAAAAAGCATTTGAGATACACTTATTTAAAATTAGGCAACTTAATGTGTTTGATTATAAACTTATTTTTTTACCTTGTCTTTTTAATAGACAATTAATTGTATTTTGTACCTTTTATATGTTTTAGATAAGCTTACATTACAATTAGTTAACAATCAAACACATAAAAGGTACATTTATAATCTATATTGTAATACAAGAAAAACAATTATGGAAGTTATTATGCAAGAACACTTCGAAAAAATGTATCAATTCTATGAGTAAGTCAATAATAATCAAATAATTGATAATTTTTTTACAAGTATTATTTGTTACCGATTAATGTTTGTATTTTTATTGTGCCCTTTTAAATAATATAGCGGAGTACACCCCAGGGGTGTACCATACTTTTCGTGAGCCACTCAATATCTCTTAGAGTTTAGTATGAAATTTAATTTTTAATATTTTTATTGTTTGTTACTGGGGATTGACCGGTACTCGATGTTCCGATATATGTTGCCGATAAAAAACTGATTCCCAATATATTAAAAAATTAAAAATCTTTTGCAAAACCATGAACCGATATCAAAACAAAACCGATACCAGACAAAACCAATATTTCATATAACCTACCATTGATTATTATGGTCTTAATATGGGTTTCCAAAAAAAACCAGTATCAATAAAACCGATACAACTAATTTCGACTAGGTTCCGGTTCTAGTATAGGCCTACCCCTAGTTTTTATACAATATGATCAAAATATTTTAAACTAATTTTGTTTTTACCTACCTCTCGACTTAAATTTTTTTTTAACTACTTTTTAAACTTAAATAGTAACGCATGCATTTCATTAACTTTTTTAATTTAGAATAATGTACTAAACATTTTGACTGGTCGATAACCAGTTTTGGATAACTATTTTTCAAGTTATAAGAGTTTAGAAGTTAGGATGGGAGGGGTAGTGAGGTTAGGAAATGCTCACAGATAAAATTAATACTTCACCCACCTTTCCTCATGCCCTGAACTTGAAACTTCAATAATTTCACTTATGGTTTTTTAAAACTGGTTATCGACTGGTCAACATTTTTAATACATTATTCTCAATTTAAAAAGGTAATTCTTTAAAAAGAAAAGTTTTTATTCCATTATTTGTATTGCATATTTTGATATTGCTTTTCAGAAAAGGTTTTTTAATATTTAATCATTCATCTGGATGAGTTTCGGATATCTTAACGTCAATAGGCCGACAATTTGGACTCTTTGCAGAGTCCATTTTCAGGACGATAATGGTCTCGACTGGTCAGCTACCGTGACCATACCTCGGCCTATAACTATTGACGTGAATATATCCATAACTTATCCAAATGAAATATCAATCCACGAAAGCTTTAGTGCATTTAAATCTTTTAGTTATTTATAACAAATTTTTTTTTAACTACTATTAAAAATAAATACATTAATACGGATACTTTTTTTCTAGGGACAAAGAGTTTTGTGATGTAACCTTGGTTACCGGTGAAGGCTTAAAAGTAGAAGCACACAGAAATATATTGGCTTCTGTGAGTAATGTATTTTATACGATGTTCAGCGGTCAGTTTAGAGAAAGAAACGAAAATGAGATTCTTATAAAAGACATAGATTCTGAAATTTTAGAATTAGTGGTCAAATTTGCATATACTTGTAAACTGGATATTGAAGAAAACAATTTTGAAGTAGGAAATATGCAATATGATATACAATTTATAAAATATTACACTATTTTTATTTACTTGTTATTATATTTTGTAGAAACTGTTGATGGCTGCTAATATGTATAGTCTAAATCATATAAAAGAGTTATGTTTTAAATATATTAAAGAAAATATAAATCCTACCAATTGTGTGAGTTTTATGAAAAATTCCAAATTAATATCAGATGAAAAGATTTACAATTTTTGTTGGTCATATTTTTTAAACCATTTCACGTGAGTAATCAGGTACGACATATGTTCGCAACAATTTTTTAAATAATAAACTAATAAAACAAAGATTTTTTTTAGTACAATTGTGAATTTGGACCAAGCATTAGAAACACTTTATGACTTTGAGTTTGATGATGTCGAGTTTATTGCACGTGATGATTTAGTAATCGATTCTGAAGAAAAGGTATAATTATTGTGACTTAAGAAGAAATAAAAAAGTTATTTATTATAATGTTGGTTCTATTACAGTTATTTAATAATAATTTAAGAGTTTATTTTAGATATTTGATTTTATCATTGGTTGGATACGCTATAACACAGATGACCGTAATGACTTGTTACCGGTTCTTATGAAATATTTACGTTTGGCTTTAATTTCAAAAGAAGGACTACAAAAGATTTATAATGAACCATTAGTGAGAAATAATAATGATGGTAAGCATTTATTGTTGATATTATAATCGGGGCAGGATTCAATCTAAATTGTGCCCTTTATTTTTATATACAAACGCGCCTATAGGTGAAATATACTATTGATATCTCTTTTAAATAAATATTATTATTGTTATGGTTTTTAGTTATGAGAGGCATGTTGGAAACAATTATTACTCACGACTGTTTAAAACCATCATATACTCAAGGAAGATGTACTCAAATTGAATCATCAAATGTAAGTAGACATTTTAAAACTAGATTTTTACATTGTATAGGTTCACAATAATTGTACTAGTTATGTGCTTGTATTACCTGACATTTGTAAATATGTGTATTCAGATTATTTTTGCAAACGCTGGTCATTCAAACAGTGCCGGTTCCTATGTAAAGTATATGGATATTAGCAACGTTAATGACTTAAATTGAAAATCAAGCGATCATTTATTTTTTTTGCCTCCCCGTAAAGGCTCAAAGATGGTAGTCTCTGATAATGGGATGATACTTGCCATTAATGGTTCAAATGAGTCTGGTGTTAATGTAAATCTTGTAGACGAGCTTGATCTTAAGTTAAAATCAAAACAATGGGTTTCTACATGGCCGTTGAATCAATCGCGAAAAAATTTTGCTGTTTGTACTTACAAGCAGTATATATATGTCGTATGTATTAATTTTACTGTAGTTAACATTACAAATACACATTGTATATAAGAATATATTGAATGCATATTATATACAAACAAAATTTTCTTTTTTTCATGATATAGGTTGGAGGCTATGATTTATCAAATAGTAATCGTTTGAATTCTGTAGAATACTATGATATAATTTCAAAAGTATGGATCGAAATTACTGAGCCAATGTCTACTGCTCGATCCTCGTGCAGTGCTGCAGTATTTAATAATAAATTATATGTTGTAAGTAAACACAATTTAACCATAAATACCATGCCCAACAACTAAACAAGTTTCTAACTATATTTGTATTACAAAATAATTATAAACTTTTCATTTAACAAGCTATTGTGGTTTGTAAGCGTTTTAATCAAGTTTTATTGTTTTTTGTAGTTTGGTGGATGTGATAATTATGATTCTCTTGCAACTGTAGAGTACTATGATCTTGAAAAGAAACACTGGCAACAACTCGATCCTATGCCGATATGTAATTATAGTGTAATGATTATATTGTACTCATTGAATCATTTACATGTAATATCATAATACATAATACACAACACACAATACATGAAATTATATGCACTAAAAATACCTCTATATATGATAAGATTATATGCACTAAATTCAATATATGCACTAATCAAAAATGTCAATTATATAAGATCAATTATATGCACAAATAATAATATCGCACACAATTATTTATATATTATTTCAAATACAGTATTTTATAAAAGTATTAAAGGATGTACTAAAATAAACATGACACATAACATATGCTGACTCATACCATACAATTGTACGCTTGGATGATTATCCTAGGAAACATTTCATACCTCACCCCCTGCTAATGACGTATTTACTCCCTATATAAGACAATACGACGGGCTTGTCGCCGCTCAGTCGTTTAGCTACAATCGTCTGCAACTTATCAATTATTTAATTGTTAAGGCAGGGTAAGCGTAGCTAACCGATTCTTTTCGTAATTGTTTATGGTTTTGACTCAGTGTATGTTCCAAGTCCTATGCACACCAAAACATTGTGTTTATTTATTTGTTTCATTTAATAATTCGTCTGTTAATTTAGCTATCTTAACATAGTCCGAGAGACTGACCTGGTTCATTTAATTCTCTTGAGAAGCGTAAAGCAGCTCTAGGGATCCAATTCCTTTGAATTAAATTATTCACTTGGAATTTGGATGTTCTCGTCAGCGATTGGAAAATTTAAGTAGTTAAGTAGTTAATTAATTAGTGTTTAGCTAAGGGAAGACAACTAGAGTAGCGGCTGTTTAGTGAGGTTAAATATGGACCCTTAAGGTCTGTTGCTTCTAAATATCGCAGCCTAGTAGTCTGATCTTCTAAACGAATTTGTGTAGTCCTCTGACTAGTTATCACGTAGCATGCTAGAGGATCACCAAGTTAAAGACGCTTAAAAATATATCTGAAAAGGGTAACTTCATTTGGACGAACAGGAATACACTCCGAGCCGGATCATTAATACATTACACCTAGTAGTACGCGTGTTATTAAGTAAAACTTTCGGTATCTATTAGAAACTAACGAGTTCGGTAAGTGCGTGTCGTACGGGACTTCTATTTTCAGTCACTACAGACAACAAAGGAACAACGGAGGACAGCGAGACAACGCATTTCCACTCTATAGCTGAGCCATAAGGTACGTGAAAGCTTATTAACACCAGCATACTATTGTAGTAATAGGATATGGAAGAGTAGGACACATTTAAAAGCACACATACATATATTAAAAATAATATCATAAAGACATCACAGATTACCCCTCCTATCCCTATTTTTAGCCACCATCTTTATTACTACAATAGCATGGGCGTGTCAAGAATAGATAAAGTCCTTTATCTCATTGGTGGTTCTTGTGCACTTTGACGAGTTTTTAAATTCGATTTACAAAATTTCAAATGGGAAGAAATGCCTAACATGAACATGGATTGTAATGGATATTGCTCAACAAGTCTGTATATATTTAACCAAGTATATAATACATTTTTTTACTCATAAATATTATTAAATGCAGGTGTTGGTATCATGAAAAACGATTATTCGTGTTTGTGAATAATCAAGGAAAACTTCATTGTGAAAGATATGACAGAGGAAAAAATCAATGGCAATTGGTTGATAGGGTAGGAGAGTCATTAAACCTAACTAGTCATATCATTACTTTCAATGATATTACTCTTAAATCCTATGGTATTCAATTATGATAATATTTTTTTTTTAAATACCTTTTTATGAATTCAATTTAGTCTCGAAATTATTTATACATTTTGTTGTTGATTTTTTTTTGTATTTGTTAATACTTTGGAAGGACTTCATTGTAAAATATGTTACACAAAGAATACATGGCATCTGGTTGTCAGAGCAGAAGAGACTTCAAACGTTTTTGTTATAATATTGTTTTAGTATAATGGTATTCCCTTATAATATTACTTTTAATAATTAAATCCAATTTGTTATTATATCTTAAATACATTCATTAGAACTATATACTCGTATATAAAAGTAATGTTTTTTTTTGTATGTTTATTGTCTATTTGGAAAATATAAAATAAAGCCAAGAATAAGCTTAAAATAATCAAATTGGTGTAAATCTGTAATGGGAGAAATAATTCTAGAATAAGATTATTAGACAAAATTATAAATAAATGTATAATTTTTATTTGAGGACTTGACGTGATAGATCTATATGTAAAGCTGAAAATGTATCTGTTTTACAATTATATTAGTAGCTTTTTTTGGAGGGCCGGTTCACTCGAGAAAAGAGTTTTATCATTAAGATTTGTTTTTATACTGGTTTAATAGAATGAAATGAACAGCTGCTTATAATATCATATTGATAGTTGTCGCAATTATAATATAAAGCACTAGATTGTGCGCAGAATGCTAACATAACTCTGTAAGGTACACCCTCTTATTATTTTTTACCTTTTTATTTTACCATCTACCATATCAAAGCAGTTTCTACACATTTGGAGACTTTTAAACTGGCAAATAACTGACAGTAAAAGTTTTTCTCACAATAGCTATAATGTAATACTACTATAACAAATTACATTTACTCGAAAAAAGTACGCCATGGCGCAAATATCAAGGTTTAAGTTTTAAAATTAAACTGAAAATTTAAATTCCTATTTGGAAGTAGTGTTAATGGACGCTCCCTTCTTTCACGTCGTCTTGTCTAGTTTCTATTTCAGCTCTTTTACCTATTGTTTTTATTGTATACAGATTGTAAATATTGTCTTTATTTTAATAAAAAAAAAAATTATTACCAGCAATGATTTCAAAACCGGTGCTTAACCATAGAATTTGAAGATCGTAAATTTAATAATAGGTATGTAAATGTGTACATAAATATAATAACTAAAAATAAATAAAGATAATCAAACAGTATCATCATCAACTATTGCGTTACACATTTATAACTTCAAAAATAATTATGAAATGAATATATACTAGGGTGTCCCTTAGTTTGTACTTTTTCGAATAGTTATACTCCCAAGATCGCAAGCTGTTCTAGTGAGTAAAAAAAGGCCATAAAAGCTTCACTGATCCAACTCAATATTTACCCGTACCTTTATGACGGTGAAGTTTCCTATTTAAATACACGCAGAATTATTGAAACTTTTGTTAAATATTTTCGAAAGATAAAAATAAATCTTTAAAATATTGGACCAACTGAAGTCGTTTGTGTATGGCACGTACATTCAACGAAAAATGCAATTATTATTTTTTTTAAAACTTGCATGGATGTATTAATGTAAATTTTTGTAATCAAAATGTACATTTTTTCATATTTCACTCTTTTAGTAGATCAAAATAGCAAAAAATGTTTCGTTGTAGCATTACCTAAGGCTTAAGTACTGAAAAGACAGTACTGTGGAACAAGTATATAGAGGCGGTGGAGGTCTCAGGTCTATATTGTAATTATTTCTTTTTTTTTGGGGTTTTTCTTAATAACTAAAAGGTTTGACTACAGATTTTTGAGAAAACTGTTTATATAATAGGGTCATACCTAGACCTACCTAGTTATATATTTGTTGGTTAGGTCGGTAGTTGAAGTGCGTTTGAGTAACGCGTGCAAATAATAAATATACACGTTTCTTTTGGTCTTAAATTTTAAATGTTTATTACAAACAATAATTACTTAATACTACTTGTCGACCAGCCCACATGTTTAGTAAATTTTTCTCAATTTAAAATGTTAATAAATTAATGTATACGTTACCATTTAATTTTCAAAAGTTGAAAGTACTCTAACAAAACGATACGAATTTCAATATTGTTTAATTTTGTATAAAAACATTAAATTAAATGTCTCAAAAAAAAAACATACTGTAACGAGCCTGCTCGCCTAGGGGCTTATCCTAGACTGAACGGTCGCCGATGGGATCCAGTAAGTGGATCTCGGCTTGAGAACGGGAAGCTACCCCGTGTCTACACTTAAGTAAAACCCAAAGTCCCCTTTATATATTTATATGCACCGTACGAGGGGCTAAACGGGCGGTCGTGCCTTTGAATGACGTAACTCTGAAGTATGCAACTATAACTATTTATTTATAAGGTAAAACTAACTATACAATATATATATACAATACACTTCTACCTGGGTCCCTGAGATTGTCAGCTGGTCCTGTAGAAGTGGAGTCGAGCGAACACACACGATGCGGGATGGTAATAGGCGGCGTTAAAGCGTGGTAAAGTGCGTAAATCGGATGAGGGCTAAAATGGTCGTTTATCGCGGTTCGAGGATGGTCAAGTCTCAACTGCTCGTTGGGGTCCGCGCGGAGGCTATTGTCCTGTGTGTTCGCTGTCTCCCCTACCTATTGTCTTATTGATAGATGTCCAGTAAGCGTATTTTAGGACGAGTGGTAACGGGGTGTCAAGTGTCCCCGTTACAGCTGCCCTTCCCCTATCGAGGTCTGACCTCAGACCTAAGTTAAACAAAAGTAAAAGTGATTGTTATGCGGGGAGTGGGGAGAAAGGGGAAACAAAAACAAAAAATAACATTACAAGGCTTCCTGAAAAGTGAATCAAGTGTCCCCGTTACAATACAAAATACAATAATGTAGTTATTTTTAAAGAAAACCAGTGTCATGCGCTAAATGGATCACCCTGTACTATGAAATATTGGAAAGTGTATAATTTCATGGCTATCATTATAAATTACATAAAATATTTGTACATCTTTTTTAAATTTTGAGTTGTAAAAATACTTTTCTACAATGCCATGGTAATATGTAGGACGTAGGTAATTTGACCTTATAACAATAAGCCTAGACGTACTTGTCTTCCAAGTGGATGATAAAAAATATTTTAATCGTATTACAACCAAAAAGTGTCTGCATATAACCGATTTCAGGTGTTGAAATATATATATTTTTTTCACAACATCAAGTGTCTCCATTAAAACCGATTTGCTGGCTCACATAACTGTTTTATTTCCTGCTTAACGGCCCATGTATAATATCTACGTCATTTTTTTGTTCATTGTAGTGGTTTGTAATCAAATCGTTATAAGTACCACTTCATTGTTAAGTCGTAGATTAGATGTAGTCCAGGTGTCAAACAACTACCTCAAAATATATAACCGTTATTTTTATTTCTTATTAAGTCCGAATAAGTAATACAAATCATGTTATACCTACATAGTACTCAACGCAGGTTTCACTAGCTGTGCCTAACAAATTGTTTGATTTTTACAAAAAAATGTACATTCATTTAAAAACCAATGTTAATTATATTTAATTTAAAACGATGACCAGATCTTTAAATTATTATACAACCCCGAATTAATTGATTTGACGGCTTATCGGATTGGTTAGGATTAAGTAAATGTGTAAAATTAAAATCTTAATCAATCTCAGAAAGTAGCTACCATGCCTATTTAACCCATTACCAAATTATAATATATTACTTTACAAATTATGAATAATAACAATATTATTATTTGAGCTGGAGATAAAACAAACGTTCAAACCTCGTTGGTTTACCATTTTTTTTAAAGGCATTACTAGCATCGTTAATAGCTGTTTAATTGCAATTGTAAACACTGTTTATCGCTTTTTTCGCAATTTACTGCACCGCCACCTTTCTATAGTAAAAACATCTATTAAAACGTACTTTTTATGGAAAAAAACTAAGCTACATAAGACAAGCTTCGGACAAACGAGCAAATTTATGTGCCTATATTATCCCGTCTCGTACAACCAACTTTCTCCATCCTTCTCTGTCCAACACTAGGTTCATTCAATTAGAACCACTTACCAACTTTTCGACCCTTACACAAGTATACAGAATTATCCATGTTATTATGGACCATAGTATTATATTGTAGCCATGGATTTAATATCCAAGGTTATTGCATATCCCCACTTTATTATATTATCAATTCGCAAAATATACATCAACAAAAATGTTTAAAAAAAATACTAAATACCCACAAAGTGTATCAATCTTACGTTTTCCGAAAACTATGTTTTTTAAAAGACTAATTTGGGAAATGCCGTTAACGAATTCATCGCAAACTTTCTCTTTTGTTTACTTTCAATTTGTCCGAATCAATTTATAACGTTTCCAGCTCTAATTCTTTCTTCGTCTCCGCTATCCGGCTATATTATTATCTTTGGCCATAAGGGAGAAAAAATTACAACGCCCTTAAAATATCGTTTTATGATAGAAAACAAAAATGATTCACATATGGTTGTTTTTAAGTCATTTGGGTCAAGAAATTCTAAGAACTCTGTACAAGTCGACGTTTTATAATGCAAGCTCAATATAGGTATTTAAATAATGTTTACTTTTATTTTTTGAACGTGTGAAAATATTTCATATAAAAGATGTCTATATTTTCATTTATATTATATAAACGGTGGAAAGGGAAACGCACAACGAATGTCACAAGTGTTTTTTAAAGCAAAAAAATTGCGTTTTCGGCAAGGCAAGAATTCGATATTATACAAAAGCCTGTCTTTTTAACATGAGAAAAATAAAAAAAATAAACACAAACTTTGTCGTGGTAGTGTTTGATATTTGTTTTGGATTTGAGAGTTAAACGATAAAAACAATTCCCGCTTTGACGGTGTAGTACTTTGAAGCGAGGTTAGGTTGGGTTTAAAAAATTCTTGTTGTACTCATACCGTCTAAGAACTATGATGAAAACATATTTTATTTTGAGAGCCCAATTCTATAAAAAATTGTTTATAAATGACCATGAAAAAATATTTAAGATGGCGGCGACTTATTTTTAAAACAAGACGGTTATCAGAATTCCACGGGGTTATGATAGCTAGACCACTAATCCAAAGTATTAACAATTTAATTAATAACCTACTCAAAACGGGGGCTAATTTATAAGTAACTAGTGGACCGAATCGATATTTCACCTAAATCCGCTTTTGGTTCTTATAGTATTATGTACTTATAGTATTATAGTTACAGTATTATGTAGTATGTTATACTATAAAATATTTAAATATTATATAGTCTTCTTCTTCTTTTCTTCTCCTTGGGTTTATTAGGCCCTCAGGAACACCCCGTCTCACAACGAAGTCTTTATCCTTCTCTGTCCAACGCTAGGTTCCTCCAATTAGAACCACCTAGAACGCAAATATTCAACATATTTTATTATGACATCTTCCCAGCTTATTCTTGGATCATTTCTCTACAGAGTTCTATTTTAATAGATCACTCAGTGTAACTTTTTTAACAATAGCCGAAGTAGCTATAAATTTGTATGGAATATTCTTTAAATAACGTATTAGTGGTAAACCTTAGCCAACTAAAAAAATATCATAAGTCCATCTCCCTGAAAGGGGAGAAACTTTTAGGAACAAAATCGCTTGGCTTCTCATACCTAATGTTGCCAAAAAACAATTGGACATGTGCGCTTTCTAAACTCAGCGGTACAACTAGTGTATAGTTTATGAAAAAAATAGTAATTACTTGGGTCTTCAACAACTTCCGGATTATCATTTCCTGTAACAAATACATCAAATCATTATGCATTTAATAAAACCCGGTGTATTTATTTTATAGAACTTAACAGTCACTCATACAACTCCATATTAAAACTTACCTAATACACGCCGACTGATGTTACTTTCTAGAGATTTTCCAGAAACTCTTCTCACTTCTACAAGGGTTGCCAAATTTGATCCTACCAAATCTACGAAAATATTTATTATATGGCTGTGTAAAGAAGAAATAACAAAACATATTTTAGTTTTAAGTTTTATTATATTAAATATAATATTTTATATATTATATATTGTTTTTTTGATTCTTCCTCTTCTTCTTTGATGTACTTTATGTAATTTAGATTTTGCCAACTTATCACGAACCTCCGAATAGAAACGAGTTTTCCGAAAACGACTTAAAAGTGTTAGAGTTCATACTACACGCGACCGACGCAATGTACAAAAAACCCGATAAAACGACCAAACGTCTGAATTCTAGCAGTAGCGAAAAGTGTAAACATGTTATGATGCGATACGATATGATGTTGGGTTGGGTTAGTTTGGCAACAATGGTACATCTTATCACTTTTCAGATAGACAGCTGTTTTACAAGGCTTAGTGATAACGCTTATCAATTGAAACCAAAATTAGTTCACTTTTCTGACACCAAAAGGCGCTACTAGGGGGCCTGCGTGCTCCACATAGTACCTATGTATAGCTTAAATAATTAAAGTTTTAAATCGATTTTTATAGTTTTTCGTTAGAACTACAAATATGTTTAATTATCAGTATTTAAAATTTTATACTTACTTTTTGTAACTCTTATTTCTAGTTGCGTCATAAACTGACCATACATGGGTCCTAAAATCAAAACAAAATATGTTTTAATGTACATTCATATTATTTATCATTGAAACCAAAATATTATGTTGGTACTTGTTCCAACAAGTACCAATTGATTCAATTTTATCACTTTTATTTATAATAATTCCTGTAGACCTGTGACCTCTCCGTTTCCTCATTGCTTTGATTACATTATGTCTATATTCTACTGTACTAGTCCTCTCGGATAAAATCACTTTCAAATTAACGCTTTGACGCTCATTTGTAAATACAGAACCTTAATTTAAAACTTTCTTACTTTGCTGGTTATACTGTGCTTGGTTTGAACTGTACTGGCTTGAAAATACTAACTACCGATTTGCATCAAAGCGTTTTTTCGAAAGTGATTTTATCACTTTCAGATTTAAAAATTCCTGTAAACTTGTGACTTCCCCGTTCCCACTATGCCCCGACCCAACTATGCTCCGTCCCCACTATGCCCCGACCCCACTGTACTGGTTTTTTTAGACATGTTAAATGTCATGCCAGGCAAAAGCATAATAATTATTATACGTGTAATTCATCAAGCCTTTAACGAACCCATAATTTATTTCTTGTGGTTTTATTTAAAAAAAGCCTTATAAGAACTCCGCAAAGTTTATTGCTAAGTCACTTATAAAAATCAATTTAGATAATCAGTCTTAGGAATATCACTGGTTTTATGCTAACCTGTGTCAAGGTCGCGAAGTACAATGCACAAAGGATAACAGCACTTTTGAAATGCATAATGGTTGTTTATTTTTCAAATACTTTGTTAAACCAGAATTAAGTCTTCAACACCTAAGTTGGGTGAACGGTGAAATTAGATTCGACTCGGGGTGTCTTTTATATGGTGCAAATGATATAAACAACATAATTTTAGAAATAGAAAATATTGGTAGATAGTGGTTTTTCGTTTCATTTTATTTACATGCTACACACTTTAAGTAATGTTTTCGACCCAAATACAGTTGTAAGCACAGTGTAACCTAGAAAAACACTGTATATTTACTTTTGTGAAATGGAATAACAATATATTTGTATTTTTTTTTAATCGCACAAACACAATACAGCGAACGACAAATGTTATTAAATCTTCATAGAATAATATTATTCGTTTAAATAAACAAAATAATTTTCATACGCTATACTTTGCGATTACATGTTTTACTCAAGGGATGAGAAAATCCTTCTAAAATAGCGAACGATGAACGTTATTAAATCTTCATTAGATTATAAATGTTTCCAATTTATAAATACTTAAAAACTAAATGGAAATATTTTGAAAATTAATGTTAACGTCTTTCGATTTAGTCACATATTCACAATTTCTATATTAAACCTAACAAAATTAGTTAACGATGTTGAACCGGTGGGTAAATATGCGTACTGTCGGTTCCAGTGGGCTTCTTCTTCCATTCCGGAAAAATCAGAAGGTCGCTGATTTGGGTCCTTTGGGACTGCCGGTATGCCAGATTATTTTGGCTGAGAACAGACTTGCTGATATCGCCAACGACGGATATTTTTACATCTCATTAAGGCAGGGTTATTTTTTTTTTTTGTCAAAATTAATTTACCAAATATTAAATTTTGGCAGATTCGTGTAAATACTTTCCGGGTTACTATGATTGCGGTATCTAGGCAATATTTGTTTGTTGTTTTTACTTTGTCGGTTATTTTGCGCGGCCTGTGGCATCTGCTGGTTACTAGGTCAATGATGTTTTTTTAATCCGGCCGGCTACAATAGTGCGGGTGCATGGAATTTTACCGGCTCCCTGTATGTATGGTGTGCGGCGAGATTGTGAGGTGAGGTGACGGTGTGTTTGCCAACCGGTAACCCAGAAAATAACTGCATATTTACTTATGTGAAATAAAATAACAATTTATATTTATTTGCTTTACATTCGCTTAAAAACAAAAACAATATAGCCATCGATAAATGTTATTAATCTTCATATAATAACATTATTCGTTCAAATAAAAAATAATAATTTCCATACATTATACTTAGCGATTACATTCATTCAAGGGAGAAAATCCTTCTAAAATGTGTACATAGTCACCAAACTTATGTAAATATTACCAAATTTATAATATATTGTTGGATAGTTGATTTTTGTTTTAGTTTATTTACACAAAACACGGCATATTTAACTATGTGAAATAAAATAACAATATATTTTTATATGCCAAACATTGCCAATATAGCAAACGTTGAATGTTATTAAACCTTTGCATAATATTTCGTTGCCGTGATTTAACCAAAACGCGGCGGATATTACTACTTATAATGTGCTGTGGTAACTAAATTGCTATGAACTTATACGAAATACTCGTACGTATATGATTTATAGAATTTTGAACACCTCAATAATAAATTCCTGGATCCACCACTGTGCATTTGCAATAACTATTGTGGCAGCACAGGGAATCGTTTTGTGACGTCGGGAATGTGTTATATTTAAATTAAATTTTAAAAATGTTTATACATATAAAACAATTTTAACTATTTCATTTAGTAACAAATATAGTAATAATAATGATAAAATAAAGAATAATTTAGTTTACTTTAATTGAAAAATAAAAACCAACAAAGTTTTGAGTGGTATATTTTGTTTTGTTTTTAAACATTTAAAACTAAATTTTAATTTACTTAAATTAGACGAATTAAACAAAACTACAAAAATGACTTGTAGGTAAGAAGCTAACACAATCTTTTAACCAACACATAAATATAATGTGTAATCAATCTCTTTGTGCATTTGGTTTTATAAGGCGCAATTGTTCGGAATTTAAGAATCCGATTGTTTAAAAATATTATACTTTACTCTGGTACGTTCTATACTAGAATACGGTTCAGTAATTTTGAACCCATATCAAGGTGGTTTAATAAATAAAATAGAATGTGTGTAAAATAGGTTCTTCCGGTTACATGCATTTAAAACAAACAAAATTTGTTAACTCTTGACAACTAATGAGTCAATATGGTACTGTCTCACTCGAAAAAAGAAGGAAATTACATGATGCATCTTGGTTGTTTAAATTACTGAATTCGTAAATAAAGTACCCTGACTTATATACAATTAGACAAATATCTTTAAACGTTTAATAATAGTTTAGTTTACATGATTTCAAAAATAAAAAACCAACCAAGTTTTCAGTGATCTATTTTGGTTTTTTTAAACATTTAAAACAAAATTTGTATTTACTTAAACTAGATGAATTACACAAAACTAAAAGTATTACTTGTAGGTAAATAGCTAACACGAAAAAGATTAAAGCTAATAATTGTTAGAAAATTTTGCCGACTAGATTAATTTAAAGTTGTGCTGATGCTGTATCATTCAACCGAACTCCGAGTAAATAGTAAGTAATAAATAAACACATAAAGATTATGATTCTATTTATTCACAAGCAGTATTCTAAGTCAATGGAAGCCAGAAAACACGGTAATAATGTGAATAAATTAGAAATACAAAATAGTAGATACTCACACAACGTAGAACCGTAAGCCGCTGTCAAGGGCTGCTACTAAAAATGTATAATAAATGATTAACAGGCAAAACAAAACTCAATTGTAACGCAAATTGAAACAAAATAACAAAACACGACTCAATACGTTAGGTATTTATCACAGAATTCGGCCAAGTTATTATGATTAAAATCTATTGATTCTCACGAATCGGACCCGTAGCAACAATGCTGAAAACAAATTGTTCCTATGGCACTAAATCTAATTTAACTAGTAATAATTCACAGAAATTCAGTGTACAAAAACTCAATTATTAACAAAAAGTCAAAACAAAACTTGAATTTAATAAAAATGGTGCTATCTGCACGACAACGCTGAAATTTTCTAAACAGATTTGTGATAGTGTATGTGTGATAACGAGTGATTGCCACAGGTTGAGGTACACAACAGCGTGGAGGTAAACTGTCGCGCGTTTTAGGAGGCAAACGGTTCAAATTCTCAACTCCGGTTTAAAAGCTTGTTGTAAACTTACCTTCATCGACATCCTATAAAATGTATTAATGTCTTTACCTAAGTCTTTATCCGTTTTGGAAACACCTTTCGCTGATTCTGTTAGAATACATAGGCCTACACTTGTAAAATTAATATTTAATACAATAATAACAAAAAAATAGGTATTAAAGAAAGTCAGTACAGTTGGCTTAGGACATAGTGGGGTCTACAGGTCTACGAGAATTATTAAATACAAATATCGATAAAAGCATTGCACCAAATGACAGTTATGCTCTTTATCTGGAAACCTGGAAATTTACCAACGCCAAATCTAAGATTTCCTCTTTTTTTGGAGTTTTTTCTTAATAGAAAAAAGTTTCACTGCAGATTTTTGAGAAAATTTTATGCTATAGCTTTGTTCTAGATCTTTCTCCGGTCTAATTTTCAGACCTAAGTCCTAAAACTTTGGTTGAAAAAGTGAAAAAAAAAGAAATGTCTATTTCTTTTAGTGGAAAGGGTTTATGATATGTTTTGGTTTTGTCAATGTTTATCGGTAGGTAGTAGGTACTATGTTTAAATAATATTCCAGATTTGTGAAATAATATTAAGATGTTCTAGCTACACAACTATTAAAATTTCATGTATTCATATTTTTATTTTGTGACCTCACTATACATATAGTTTTGTACAATTTTGAACATTCCTTCTACCCCAAATTGCATATCATTTTAACTTTTGCAATTAGAACATTGCTGAATTATATTTTTTACACTTGCAATAATTGGTAAATTAAGGGAACCTAAAAATGTATGCATCAGGTCATGAATAATTTGACTATTTTATTTTTTAATTCATTTAAACCCTTTTGAAAACAATATATGGTTTTATTATTGTTATTACTTTTCCAAAAAATATATATATAGTTTCTTACACGAAAACACAGTTTAAGTGTTATTCATTGAAATAAGAAGAAAACATATTATTTGTATGTGATGTTTTGTAGCGGCTTGTCCAAACAGTTCCCTGATAGTCATAGGTACACCATTTTCACTAAATAAGAATTTTATTCAAAACAAAAACAATGTCGTTAGCATTGACCTAGATATATTATTTTAAGTGTCTAAAATTTAAACAAAAAAACATTAATAATTTCTATTACGAACGATAGTCCTCCAGCCTATTTCTCAAAATGCTAATAACACCATAGATATTTACAAAACTTGTTTTTTTACTGGATATACCAATAATATTTTTTTTTATTCTATTTAGAACAATTTGTTTTCAACGTTTGCAGAACTCTTCAACCAGAGGCCCAAATGTAGGTATCCAATAATTGAAGTATTGTGAGTAAAAACACAATTATTTATCATTGTTTTTGGCGTTTTCTCGGGTTCGTATCGAAGTGAATAACATATGAGTAATAGCCCACACAAAAACACTTTTTTAAATCAATGCACGACCACAATAACAATTTTACAAACTTGGAATTTAGCTCACGATAACGTGTTGAAACATAATACGAAATCAGAATACTTTTCAAACTAAATTATTTAGGATTAATTATCGTACTCTGAATTGTTCTTGTATAAATTTTATTTGAGCCAACCCAATACCAATGTGGTTGTGGCCAGCCAGAATATGTTTAAAATAAAATTAAACGAAACAAAATCAGCTCGTGTCACACTGTGTCTTTAAATAAAACTCCCATTCCCCAATGCTCTCAAATAAAATATTTAGGCTTAATATTATACGAGATCCTAACAGGGTCACAACATTTAAAAGAACAACGCAAAGCAGTCAACTATCAACTAGATATGCTTAGACCTCTTCTAAACTCAAAAATACTAATAAAAAACCAGCTTCTTCTTTACACTACCCTTTTGAACCCAATATGAACTTATGGTATTATTATCTGGTCATCGGCAAAACCTTCAAACACCAAAACAATTAATATGCCTCTGAATAATCACAAAGGGTCTTTTGGTATGATTAAATTGTTTCACTCCACCCCGGCCTCCCAAAAGACTTAAAAAAAATGCCGTAAAGGATAATAAGGAATTAGATTGAAACAAATTGTTTCCTTGGACTGTCCTTAGAGAAATTAAAATCGAAAGTGATGATTAGTAAATAATATTATAATATTAAATCTCTTTAAATGTTATTAAAAAAGTTTTTTTCAATATACAATACGTCTTAACGGCTTTTATAATTAAAAAATCACTGTTTCTTTTTAAATAAAGACTAATTATTTACATTTTGTGTAATATTATTTTTATTTGTAAGAAAAAACAAAAATGACTATAACTTGTGTAGTAATTTAAAAAGGGGCAAATTTCTACAAAATTACAACAGGTATACTATTATCAAGTAGAACATCTACATCATGGTTAATATATCCCATCACGATAACATGTTTTGTTGTTAATTTATATATTTGTTTTTATTATTTCCCCTTCACTCTCTTTTTTTTTTTAACTTGACGTGCGATCCGCCTAACGGGTCCCCGTCTATTTTGACTACATAGGATGGTCTAATTTCAATTCTGTAAAGAGACTCGAGTTCTTTGATTAGTTTACTATGTTATGCAAGAAACCCGATTTCATTTAAAAATTTCAGTTTCTTGTAATTAAATAAATTAAATTTGCATTTTTTTTGTTCATTTTATAAATTTATTTAAACAGTTTTTTTAATTTGTTTACCTATTTTAAATATGTTCGAATAGAAATTTATATGGAATTACTAGTTGGATATTCGTTAAAATAAATAATTGTCTTAATCTTTTTTTAATCATTATTTAAAACTGTGTTGAATAATTTGTTTTTTAATAAACCCAGAGTTTGCTATGACCTAAATATGAAGTTTTAAAAACTATACATTTTGTAGTTGTGGTTTGATTTAAGAGCAATCTAGTAGGTGTACAAACACATGCATAAATATCATAATGTCGATTGTTATTCTCTGTTTTTTTTCAAAACATTTTCTAAATTTTTATTTGTGTATGGCGCGTCGTCGTTTAAGTATATATTTTGATTTGAAAAATAACGGTTTAGAAAATTTGAAACCGTCACGTGACCAATTTGGAAATTTATTATAACTGAAGTGAACTAAATAAAAATGGATAACACGTTAAATGTAAATGTATAGGATATGTATGTAAATCTCCTAAAGATATTAAAGTTCATAATATACCTAACCTAAACGGTTGCTACATATTTTGAAAATTATTGTACGGGTTGAGTTAAGGCTTTTAAATCGTATAAAACTCCTAGTAGTATATAAGAACAAACACGTCAATAGTTTTGAGTCTTAAAATGGCATTACGCCATTTAGTTGCTACGAAAAATGATTGATTCCGCCTGTAAGCGTAAAGCAGGTTTTTTTGTAACCCAAAAAAATATGTTATTGTTAAACTGATGTGCACATTATGCCGTTGAATATAAAGTATTCGGTGAACGCTTTATACAGTTAGAAATAAATATTAAGATACAGACGAATTTGGCTCGGTGGTAAACATACAAAAGAAAAACAGCTCATCACAAAACAAATGCCTTACGTTAGATTGATACAAAACACAGTATTGCTATTTATTCTGCACCGATGAAAAAAGCCAGAATAACAAGTAATTGTATGGGTAAAAAATACTTAATGTTTAAACACATGTGTTACAGGCGTAAGGGACATGATAAAAAAATAAATAAGAAAACAAGTAGCCTATGGTTTTCTAGTTTATTATGCGTATCAAGTTCACGCTTCAAATATAATATTGTAGCGACACGCCAATGAGTTTTTATCATTATTACATTTTTGTACCGTTGAAGAAACCAAATAACAAATCGTTGTAAGACAAATAACTTAGTAGGTCACGCCGTATTCTAAAACTTATTTCCCAAACCTGTCATTTTGATATCTGCTATAAATCAAAATATATATTAGGAATAGCGTTAATCAGATAGTAAATAAGATTTTATTAAATTTTGATGTTTTACTGGACGTATCCGAAACTAAAACAACAGAGCGTTAAAAAAAAATGTTGCCCATATTTAAACTGAGATACATTGTTCTCATCAAATTATGAGAAAATCAAGTTTTTGGGCGTTGTGCGGGTTTGTTCCCAATGTTTACATAAATAAAAATGTAGTAGTTGTCAACTGATTTCAAAGACTCTACCTACATATATTCATTTTGGCTTTTCTGTTGGATTGCAATTCAAACTTTATAACACTAAAAAATAGTCCCGAAGAAACGTTTAGAAAATTGTTGTTCTAAAAGTTTTCTATTGAATCAACAACACAGTCATGACATGTTAAACAAATAGTCCACTCTTTGGTGGAATTTTTTTGCGAAGTGAACCGTAGTGTGAATTTCTTTGACATATGTAAATATAGTAAAAACATGGTTGACCTAAAACTTTTTACTTTAAAACTGCCTGTTCTTGAGCATAAGAATCATTGTGTAGTAGATTTCAAATAAAGTTTGTAGCCTTATTGAAAACGAAAAAATATTATTACAATAATTATGAATATGAAGTTTATTATTTTATTGTGTCTAACATTTTTTACTCAATCAGTCAACTGTGTTGTGAAGATAACAAAACAGGAAAAACAGGTATATATAGTTTTTTCCAACAATTACTTATACATATTTTGTAGATTATTTGTGTTAAATTACGTACAGTAAACTAAACGTTTAACATGTATGGTATTCCACTATTAT